ACAGTGGGTGCACTTAGCACCCATTCATAACTTCACAGGGTGCTGGGGCTGGGAATGAAGAGAATGCAATTTCCTTTCCTCTTCTCTCCACTCCTTTGTTTCCCACTTACTCTTTTTCTCTCTTCTTCCCCATCTTCTTTCTTGCTCTCTCAACTTTTTTTTATTTTAAAAAGGCACAAAAAAAACCTCAGGTGGATTCTGATTTCTGGCGACTCCGTGTGTCAGAGTAGAACTGTCTCCTAGTTTTCAAGGCTGTGATCATTCAAAAGTGGTCTTCCAAGACTTTCTTTGATGCACCTCAGTGTAGGTTCGAACTATCAACCTTTTGGCAAGTGTCTAAGCACTTAACTATATAACTTACTGCACACCACCAGGGACTCCTGAAAAGGAAATGTGGGTTATAATGATCACCTTTAGGCTGCTTTTTCCACTAAAAAGGTATCATAACGATTTTTAGAAGCTAACAGAAGTTAAAGGTTCTTTTATAAGCTAATTAAAACAACATTGTCACATATATTGTTGTTAAGTGCCTTCAAGTTGGTTCTGAGTCATAGTAACCCTGTCTAGGGTGTCTGAGACTTTTATATCTTTTCTGGAGCAGAAAGTTTCATCTTTCTCCCTCAGAGCGTTTAGCAGGCTGGAACCATGGACCTTGTGGTTTGCAGTCCAGTGATTATCATAAGGAACCACTGCATATTGATCTGATTATTATAAAACCCACTCAAAAATGTATTTTTAAAAATCCTGTTTACTCTAGCTTTGCTCTGTCTTTCTCTTTACTGTGTGTTTTATTTTTATTTTAATAATTAAAAATTAAGTAGCTTTTTAAAATGTGAAAGTAATATTGTGCATGGGTTTCCAAAAAATCAGACACTGGAGGAGAGTAAAAAAATGCAAAGTAAATGTCTCCTTGCCTCGCTCCCCTTACTCCTCCCCCTCCCCCACCCCTGAGTCAATTCTGACTCCTAACGATCTTATAGGGCAGCATAGAACTGCTCCTGGCCGAGGCTGTACATCTGGATGGAAACACACTGATTAGTCTTTCTCCTTCAGAGTGTCTGGTGAGTTTCCACTGCTGACATTTCAGTTAGCAGCAGTGCTTAGCCCACTGAGCCACCAGTGTGCCTTCCCTCACTCCCAGCACTACACATTTCACAGGGAGACCCTTGGTAGTCCCTTGTGTATCTTTCTGGAAAACAAAACCCAGCCCCACTCCTAAATGTGCAAGCATAGGATGAAGCAGTTCCTTTTTGTTGTTAAGTGCCATCGAGACAGTTCAGACCCATATTGACCCTGTATAGGGTTTCCAAGGAGTGACTGGTGAGCTTGAACGACCAACAGTGTGGTTCAAACTGACTTTGCAGTCCAGCGCATTAACCCACAGCACCACACCAAGGACTCCAATAAGCAGAAACTGGTGGTGGTGGTGGTGGTGGTGTGCCATGGAGTTCGTTCTGACTCATAGCAACCCTGTACAGGGTTTCTGGGGCTATAAATGTTTATGGGAGCAGAGAGCCTCATCTTTCTCCCACAGAACAGCTGGTAGTTTCGAACTGCTGACCCTGAGGTTACCACTATGCTACCAGAGCTCCTTAATAAGCAGACTAGTTATTGCATAAAAACACTTTTTTAAAAGACAGCAAGTTACCCTAAGATTACAGCTTAAGTAAAGAATGAAAGAAAATAGAGGGCAGAAATATAAAAAATACCGGGCAATGCAAGGTCCTTTGAGTCCCATCAATTTCAAAGAAGAACATGGATGGACAAGTCAGCAGGGGCCCTTAGTCCACTTCCTCAGTGGTAGGGCCAGATGCAGGGGTGCCATGGTGAGTCTCAGCCCCAAATCCACCAGCCCCAGGATCACCTGCTCCCTTCTTCTTCTTGTTGTTCAGTGCTATAGAGTCAGCTCCAACCCATAGTGACCCTGTGTAGGGTTTCTGAGGAGCAGCTGGTGAGCTTGAACTGCTGACCTTGCAATTTGAACGGGTTTGCAGTTTGGAGCATTAACACACAGTGCCGCTTTTCGCAACGGGTTTGCCGCCAGAATACAGGTGTTGGTGAAAACCATCGCAAAACCTAAACCAAAATGGGAAAGGAAAAGACCCATATCAACATTGTCGTTATTGGACACGTCGACTCCGGCAAGTCAACCACTACTGGTCACCTGATCTACAAATGTGGTGAAATCGACAAAAGAACCATCGAAAAATTTGAGAAGGAAGCTGCTGAGATGGGGAAGGGCTCCTTCAAGCATGCCTGGGTCTTTGATAAACTGAAAGCTGAACGTGAGCGAGGCATCACCATTGATATCTCCCTGTGGAAATTTGAGACCAGCAAGTACTATGTGACCATCATTGATGCCCCAGGACACAGAGACTTTATCAAAAACCTGATGACAGGAACCTCACAGGCTGACTGGGCTGTCCTGATGGTTGCTGCTGGTATTGGAGAATTTGAAGCTGGTATCTCTAAGAATGGGCAGACCCGTGAGCATGCCCTTCTGGCTTACACATAGGGTGTGAAACAGCTAATTGTTGGTGTTAATAAAATGGATTCCACTGAGCCACCCTACAGCCAGAAGAGATATGAGGAAATCGTTAAGGAAGTCAGCACCTATATTAAGAAAATTGGCTACAACCCTGACACAGTAGCATTTGTGCCAATTTCTGGTTGGAATGGTGACAATATGCTGGAGCCAAGTGCTAACATACCTTGGTTCAAAGGATGGAAGGTCACCCGTAAGGATGGCAATGCCAGTGGAACCACATTGCTTAAAGCTCTGGATTGCATCCTGCCACCAACTCGTCCAACTGACAAGCCCCTGCGTCTGCCTCTCCAGGATGTCTACAAAATTGGTGGTATTGGCACTGTCCCTGTGGGCAGAGTGGAGACTGGTGTTCTCAAACCAGGCATGGTGGTCACCTTTGCTCCTGTCAATGTTACCACTGAAGTAAAATCTGTTGAAATGCACCATGAGGCTTTGAGTGAAACTCAGCCTGGGGACAATGTAGGCTTCAATGTAAAGAACGTCTCTGTCAAAGATGTTCGCCGTGGCAATGTGGCTGGTGACAGCAAAAATGATCCACCAATGGAAGCAGCTGGCTTCACTGCACAGGTGATCATCCTGAACCATCCAGGCCAAATCAGTGCTGGATATGCACCTGTGCTGGATTGTCACACAGCTCACATTGCTTGCAAGTTTGCTGAGCTCAAGGAGAAGATTGATCGCCGATCTGGTAAGAAGCTAGAAGATGGCCCCAAATTCTTGAAGTCTGGTGATGCTGCCATTGTTGACATGGTTCCCGGCAAGCCTATGTGTGTTGAAAGCTTCTCGGACTATCCTCCTTTGGGTCATTTTGCTGTTTGCGACATGAGACAGACTGTTGCTGTGGGTGTCATCAAGGCAGTGGACAAAAAGGCTGCTGGAGCTGGCAAAGTCACCAAGTCTGCTCAGAAAGCTCAGAAGGCTAAATGAATATTACCTTTAACACCTGCCACTCCAGTCTTAATCAGTGGTGGAAGAACGGTCTCAGAACTGTTTGTCTCAATTGGCCATTTAAGTTTAATAATAGTAAAAGACTGGTTAATGATAACAAGTCATCGTAAAACCTTCAGAAGGAAAGGAATGTTATGTGGACCATTTGTTTTTTTGTGTGTGGCAGTTTTAAGTTATTAGTTTTTAAAATCAGTACTTTTTAAATGGAAACAACTTGACCAAAAATTTGTCACAGAACTTTGAGACCCATTAAAACAAAGTTTAATGAAAAAAAAAAACAAAAAAAAAAAACACACAGTGCCACACTAGGACTCCGGCTTAAAGTCATGAAAATTACAATGAGATTAATTTTACTTTTCAGATTTGCAAAAAAATTGTGGGGAAATAGTCTTTCTCACCAACTTTTGATGGGAGAGTCACTAGGTGTACTTTTTGAAGGGAACTTCAGTAATTTCTAACAATTTTTAAAGCACATCCTTTCCGTTATAGGAATTCTTTCTATGAATTCTCAGCACAATCGGACAAAGACATGCTCAAGGGTTCTCACTGAAGCATCGATTGCTCAAATAACAAACAAATAAAAACCAAACCCTCCTAACTGTCCATCAATAGGACACCTGTTGAAAATGTGTTCAACACCCAAATCATGTAATCATATGCAACAGCTTAAAGAATTTTGTTGTTGTTGTTAGGTGCCATCGAGTTGGTACCGACTCACAGCGACTTTATTTATGCACAGCAGAAAGAAACGCTGCCTGATCCTGGGCCAACCTCACAACTGTTGCCACACTTGAGCCCATTGATGCTGCCATTTGGCCAATCCATCTCGCTGGGGGTCTTCCTCTTTTTCTCTGACCCTCCACCTTACCAAACATGATAACCTTCTCCAGCGACTGGCCCCTCCTGACAATATGTCCAAAATATGAGAGAAGTAATAGAGTGGAGTAATATGTCCAATGTGGAAAACTCCCTAAAATAATATATTGGACATATTGCTAAAGAATCCCATTTACGTGCATTTTAAAATGATCTCTATATAAATAGTTGTGTATGCATAGAAAATTCCTAGAAGGTTCTGCAATTAATTGTTAAAGGTGGTGAACTCTAGCGTGTGGCCTGGGAGCTGCACCAGGAGAAACTTTTACTTTTCAGCTACATCTTCATTAGCTGTTTAACATTTAAAAAAAAAGAAAGAAAAAACTCTATGCACTGATTTTTGCAAACAGATAAAATGTGGACACACAGACATATATCCAGCTAAATATACCCACAGTCTCTTAACAAAGGAATTCTCAGCTCCTGGAAGGAGTCATAGTGGCCTTTTGAATCCCTGAAGTGGGCTGTATCCTGTATGTCATGTCCTAAAAGTTTAAAGGAAGGTATTATTCACCCATTTGCAGATGAGAAAATTGAGCTTAATAACTGAGGTCCCACAGCTAGTAAAGTGACCTAAAGGGTCCATGTCATCCATTTTACCAGATGAAAGAAAACTGGACTAGCAGTCATGAAAGCTTGTAGCCTCCAATTAACTGGTGACCTTGGACTAGTCATCGTGGTCAAGGGGGCCTTAGATTGCTGTGTTCTCTTCCCACCTGAAGGGTTAGCTAGTTGTGAGAGTTCTAATATGAATGTGGAAGAATGAGACAAACCAGGACAAAATAGATCCAGTACTTATACCATGCAGCCACAGATGTGAGGGCTTTGAAAAATCTGATATGGAACCTTGACGAAAAGCCAAGAAGACTCCCTGGAGGAGGTGATAAAGAAACAATAGCAAATTACTTAGAATAAAAAATTATTCACTGGCTAGAGGGTAGTTTTTGTTGTTGTTAAGTGTTGTTGAGTCGGTGCCGATTCCTAGTGACCCTCTACAAGGTTTCTAAGGAGCAGCTGATGAGTTTGAACCACCAACCTGGCGAGAAGGTAGACACATGTTACCTTGGGTGATGGGGAAGGCAATATACAACAAAAGGGAGGTTAGCAGAGGAAAGATGAAGATAGCAGGAGGCACAGGGAGGAATGCAGTAGTTAAATTGAATAGAGGTAAATACTGTTAACTGAGGGTACTTGGAAGAGATGGCAATCATCGTAATGAAGCGAAGTCTAGGATTTGTTGAATGTAAAACTGATGATCTGCTTGGTAAACCTTCACTCAAAGCACAATAAAAAGGTTTTGGGAGAAAAAGTCCCTAAGCAATCTGCTAGTGTCAAGCAATTTAATTTAAAGACAAATTTAATTGTGTTACTCAGAAAGGGAACTTTTTTTTACAGGCAAATCTTAAAAAAAAAAAAGAAAGAAAAAAAGTAATAGCCTTAACAAGTCCTAACAAACATGTGTTAAGCCCTTCTCACATTCCCCCCCAAAGTATCTCACTATGAGGTTGTTGTTGGACCCAAAGCAACCCTGTGTAGGGTTTCCAAGGAGCAGCTGGTGAGCTTGAACCACCGACCTTGCAGTTCAAACGACTTTGCAGTCTGATGCATTAGCCCACAGCGCCACACTAGCTGGGTAGCATTTCCCTTCACCTTGGAAACTGAGGCCAGGTCTGGGGATGAATCCAGCTCAAGCACACACAGCCAGCGCCGCTGGAACTGGGATTCCAGCTCATATCAGCAGAGTCTGAAGCCCAAGCTCCTCAATCCCATGCTGCCTCCTCTTCACCCACCCACTCACGTTCTCTGCATCCCTCCCTCAGGTAAGGGAAATTCAGAGGAGCCGAGAAACGTCTGTCTGGGGAGAGTCATCTCTGGCCAGTATGATCCCTTCAGCCTGAATAGCACTGCCAAGTGCTTCACAAAGTGTAGGCTGACAAACGACTCCTGTAGTCTGGAAAACTTGCAGAGGTAAGAGGGCCCTGTGGCTGGGGCAGGAATCTGGGGCTTCAGAATGTGGGGGTCACCAGGAAGGGGGTGGAACCCTAGTCTCCATGGTCAGAAAACTCTGGCTCCTATCTTACTTTTCTGCTTTGTTGTTTGACACCCAGATCTCCTGGGAATAAGGGGCCCTGCTGGTCATCTGATGCAGAGATGAATCAGTCCTGCCCTTGGAGTTGTAGAGGTAGAGACATGGGCCCAAATGTTGAGGACTCCAGAGTGTGATTGCATAGACCTAGAAAGGTAAACAGGTGCCAACTGAGCTCAGAGAAAGAAGTCTGCTATGTTTCTTCCATGGAAGGAGGCAAACCTGGAAGGATGCATAGGAGTTTTCCAGCTAGATCCAGGCAATGGTAGAGGTTACAGGTAGCAGAACTTAGTGCTATCTGAAGTCCTGGTGTGGCACTGTAGGATAAGTACTTGACTACAAGGTCAATTTGAACAGAAAGGTTGGTGGTTCAAACTCACTGGCCATCTAAGCACTGCTTTTGCTGAGTCCTAAAGTCTTTTTTGTAAAAGATGAGGTTTTCTGCTCCTGTAACGATTTACAGCTTTGGAAATCCCGTACAGGGTCGCTATGAGCCAGACCTGACTCCACGGCACATAACAACAACAACAAAGTCTTTTTTGTATGTTGTGTTGTTTTCATTTCATTCAAGGAATTTTTTAGTTTCATTTTTTATTTGTTCTGTTACCCAGTAACTTTTAAGCAGGGTGTTATCCAGTTTCCTTCTATTTGACGCTGTTTCCTTGATCTTCCTTTTGTTGATTTCTAATTTTATAGCATTGTGGTCTGAAAAGATGCTTTGTAGTGTTTCTACGTTTTAAAATTTATCGAGGCTTGCTTTATGGCCTTACAATGGTCTATTCTGGAGAATGTTCCATATGCACTGGAATATATGTGTATTGTACTGTTGCTATGTTGACCATGCTGCATAAATTTATATAATCCAGTTGATTAATTGCATTGATTAGTTCTTCTGTGTATTTGTTGAGTTTCTTTCTAGCTGTTTTGTCCTTCACCAAAAGTGGTGTATTAAAATCTCCTACAATTATTGTGGACTTGTGGTGTGGTGCTGTAGAATCAGCACTGGACTGCAAACCACAAGGTCGGCAGTTCAAACTCACCAGCTGCTACTTGGAAACTGTATACAGAGTCACTATGAGTCTGAATTAACTTAATGGCACTTAACAACAACAGTACTATTATTGTGGAGTTGTCTATATCTCTGTCTTCAATTCTATTAGAGTTTTATATATGTATTTTGAGACTCTTTCATTCGAAGCATTCATCTTTATGGCTATGTCCTCTTATTCAATTGACTCTTTGATCATGAGATAATGTCCTTCTTTGTCTCTTATACTGGGTTTTACCTTAAAGTCTATTTTATCAGAAATTAATATTGCCAATCCTGCTCATTTTTCATTGCTGTTAGTTTTGATATTTTTTCCATCTTTTGATTTTTAACCTATTTTTGTCATTGTGTATAAGGTGTGTCTCTTGGATGCTGTTTTCTTAAAAATTCTGCTACTTTCTGTCTTTTGATTGGTGCATTTAATTCCTTGATGTTCAGTATAATTATCAATAAGTATGAATTGAATGCTGTCCTTTTGCTATGTGTTTTTGGGTGGTGCTGCTGATTTATTTGTGCTACATAACTTCCTTTGCTGAGTTCATTTTGTTTGTGCATTTTCTTGTCAAATTTTTCATTGTTGTTGCTTTAATGTTTACTAAATCTTCATGATTTTCCCTTTTCTTGATCTGATGTGAAGGTGTATTTTTTTCTTTGAGTTTATCCTATAATTTATTAATTTCTTCCCAAGTTTAAAATTATCTGTTTTATCTTGAAATCTACTTGACTTCTTTGCCATTTGGAAGTTCTGTACCTACACTTTTCCCTCTTTTTGCTTTGTAGTTGTCTTCATTATAGTGAAGACAATCTCTGGCTTTCTATTTTCAGCCTTGTAGTGTTGTTTGGCTTTGGATACTTTTGAATCTGGATTGAATTCTGGGTGGTGTTGCCATATATGTCAATCTCAGGTTGTTGTCTGCGGTTGTTGGTTCTCAGTCCAAAGGACTCACTTTAATATTTTTTTTGTAAAGTTGATCTGGTTATTACAAATTCCTTTAATTTCTGTTTATCTGGAAATGTTCTAATTTTGCTGGATATATGATATAGTTGACAATTGTCTTCTTTTAGAGATTTGTATATTGTCTCCCCCTTTCCTTTTTGCCTGTATGGTTTCTGCTGAGAAATCAGAGCTTAATCTTGTAGGTTTTCCCTGAGCTGTTCTCAGGATTCATTCCTTTCTTTGATTTTGGAGAGTTTGATTAAAAATATGTCTTGAGGATTTTCTTTTGGATTATAACAGCTTGGGGCTTGTTCAGCTTCTTGAATACTTGTCTTCTAATTTTTCATGGCGCTAGGGAAATTTTCTTCTAAATAGCTCTTTGACTATCTTTTTTGTGCTTTTCTTTGTCTTTTCCCATTCTGGAATTCCAATCACCTGTAAGTCATTCCTCTTCATGTTGTCCCACATGAATCTTAAGGTTTTCTTCAGATATTTTTCATTTTCCCCCCTGATTTTTCTTCTAGTTTACTAGTATTGAGAAATTTATCTTCAAGCTCACTTAATTCGGGTTTCCATTGATTCAAATCCATTCCTTTGCCCTTTCAACTCTTTCATCTATTTCTGAAGTCTTAGTATCGATTTTTTAATTTCTATTTGCAGATTTTGTATTGTCTCCAGTCCTTATCCTTTGTATTTTGTTTGATTGCTCCTTGTAGTGTTTTCCTGAGTTCTTCCTTGTTTTTCTCAACTTTTCTGTCGATAATTTGGAAGTACCCAAATATCATTCACTTTAACTCCTTTTCAGGTAGTTCCAATGCCCTTCTTTCCTCAAAAACATTTTCTAGTTCTGCCTTTGGTCACTTGTTTGAGCCACTCTGTCTTGTTTCTTTGTGTGAGCAGAAATTGTCTGCTGCTTTTGAGACATTGTGGTGTTGTTGTATTTGTATTAAGTTGATGATTGTTGAAAGCACTCATCAACTGCCTCCTGGTGAGTGTGGTTAGAGAATGAGCCTGTGCACTCTTCTCTGCTCACTGTTCATGCAGTTCAGTTCAGGATAGATTTGGCTGATGTTGGTTGTTGTAGCTGATCTCGTGTATAGCAACTAGTATTGGGTCTTGCTCAATTGGTGGGAAAGCCTGGTGTGGCACTGCGGGTTAATGTGCTGGACTGCAAAGTTGGCTTGAACCACAAGCTGCTCCTTGGAAGCCCTATACAGGGTCACTATGAGCTGGAACTGACTCGAGGATGTCTTCCTTCAATACCATTGGTTCTTGATTATATGGTACCTCTTGAAATGATTGAACACTAACCAATCCTTTTTGATAAACTGACGCTATATATTCTTTGCATCTTCTTTTTATGCTTCCTGCATCTTTCAATATTGCAGCTCAGGGCTTGTTTCCCTGCTTCCCCCACCCCCACCCCCACAAGCTCTTTCAGCTTGAGAAATGCTGAGTGTGTTCTTCCCTTTTGATTTTCTAACTCCAGGTCTTGGCACATTTCATTGCAATACTTGACCTTGTCTTCTCGAGCCACATTTTCATATTTCCTGTTCAGTTCTTTTATTTCATTATTTATCCCAATCACTTTAGCTTCTCTGCATTCAACAACAAGTACGTTTCAGAGTCTGTTCTGACATCTTTTCTTTTTTCCTTTTTTTTTTTTTTTAAATGATCTTTTGCTTTTTTCATATATTATGTTCTTGATGTCATCCCATAACTTTTCTGGTCTTCAATCATTAAATCTTTAAATTCAAGTGGAATATATTCAAGGTCATATTTTTTTTCTCTTGTGGACTTGTTTTAAGTTTCTTCAGCAGCCTGGACTTTCATGTTAGCAATTGATGGTCTATTCCATGGTAGGCCTTTGGATGATGATACTGAGCTTCTCCAATGTCTCTTCCCACAGGTATAGTCAATTTGATTCCTGTGTATTTTGTCTGGAGAGGTCCAGGAATATAGTCACCTTATATGTTGTAGAAAAATGGTATCTGCAATGAATAAACCATTGGCATTACAAAATTTGATCTACAATCGCCATCATTTCTATCATGAAGGCCATATTTTCCAACTACTGATTTTTCCTCTTTGTTCCCAACTTTTGCATTCCAATCACCAGTAATTACTAATGCATCTTGATCGATCAATTTCAAACTGAATAATTTTGTAGAATTCTTCAATTTCATCACCAGTGGCTTTAGCGGTTAGTGTGTAAATTTGAATAATACTAATATTAACTGGTATTCCTTGTTGTTGTTGTTAAGTACCATTGAATCAGATTTGACTCATAGTTATCCTGTATAGGGTTTCCAAGGAGTAGCTGGTGAGCTTAAACTGCCAACCTTGAAGTTCAAATGGCTTTAGAGTCTGGCTCATTAACCCACAGCACCACACCATGACTCCTGGAAACCCTATTCAGTGTTGCTATTAGTAGGAACCAACTCTGTGGCACTTCACAATAACAACAACGTTCATCTCCTAACTGTAAAGACAAAAAAAGCTTGAAGAACTCAACAAACCTCCATAAATTCATTAACCAAAATAATTTTAGGTATCACATTACTTTAAACTTTCAGCTTTCTATATTTTAAAAAATTTATACTATTATTAACAAAATTTACTATATTTAAATTAACAACACAAAAAAGCTTAACTCAAAATCTATGGCATCCACAAGTAACAAAATAAATCAGTCCTAAGTGTTCAAGACCTTTTTAAAGTGTTGAAGAGCAAAGATGTCAGGTTAAGGACTAAGGTGTGCCTAACCCAAGCCATGGTATTTTCAATAACCTCATATGC